AGAGGGAGCAAAATCACCAGCTTCTGGGAATCTTCTGAAGCTTCCCAAGCCTCAAAAGTCTGCCAGAAGCTGGCGATTTTGCCCACGCTGGTCCCGTGGGGGGAGATGGAGTGTTCCAAGGGTCCAAGTGAGCCTTCCCAGATCCTTCCAACACTCCCCCCACCTGGATGCTGGTGATTTCGCCCGCGCTGGCCCCGTAGGGGGGGAGAGCAGTGCAAGGGTCCAGGAAGGCCAGCAGGGGCGAAATCTCTGCCTTCGCTCCATAAGATGCGCAGACTTCCCCCACACATTTTTTTTTGGGGGGAGTGCATCTTAAGGACCAAAAAATATGGTATTTTCTATGGGGTGCTCCTGGATGTGTGTTAGTAGGTTGGGGGCTAGGAAAGCAACTGAGGGGACATCATTTTCTCCCATCCCTCTGTTCTGGTGGCAAGGAGTTTTTCCTTGAGGCAAACACTTTTGAAAAAGGAGGCCCCTGCTTCATGCTGAGCCAAGACAACTCTTATGAGTGTGTCAACATCCCTAGGCAGGAAAGCCCTGGGTTGCTTGGGTTCAGCAGGAGGGGTAACCCTGTAGGGGCTTGGGGTGGGTTGCTGTGTGTGTGGTCCTCATCATAGGGGAAGGACGATAGCCTTAATGAGAATATGTAGGGCCATCGCAGAGGGATCTCCAGCTTGAATGACAGAGAAAACCTGGGCCGTGAAAAAGGGCAGTTGGTATCACGCATTGACCTGGCCGATGATGTGTCATGAGTTCTGCCGAAGATCTGGAATCTGAGGGGTTAATTACAGCTGAGGAGAATGCTAGGCAATCAGAATCACGGAGCTGAATCACCACCAGATTCTCCTCCTCCAGTAGCCAGAGTAAGGGACAAGCTTCGGCAAGGACTCATGACATGGAGAGCTTAAGCCCGCAGGAATGCTTCCCATAGGAACATCAAGTCGACCAACCCTGTGTTTTAGCAGGATGAGGTGTTTATATGGCTGCTGTTGCTATAAAATCTGCACCCAGATGCTAGCAAGCTTGTGGAAGCAACAAGTCACATCTCTGGTTCACATCCATGCTCCTGACTACCTTGAAGATTGTTCTCTGGACCCTTGGCTTTGGACCCTGACCTCGGATTACGGTTTGTGATTTGGCTTTGGCATTTTGATATCGGCTCTGTATTCTCTGAACTTCTGACATTGGACTGGCTTATTGGACTCCACTGTTGAAACCCCCAGGAACGTGACATGATGGTGTTTTAAACATGTTAGAAAACAGACAAAAAGCAAAGGTGCACATCAAAGGCAAAGCAAAATTGACAGCTTGCTTTGTTTATGCACCCAGTTAAATAAGATTCCCCATAAGCATGGCTAGATGGTGTTTGTTAGTCTTGGAAGGCAGCCCATCTAGGAGAAAGAAAACTCTGATTTCAAACCTTCACTGCCTTGTGGCTATATTTGTCGATGGAAAAGGCTTCAGGAGTAAGGTCTTCTTCAAAATATTCTTAGTTGTGTGAGGCCTTTGGCAAGAAGATCAAGGTGCGGGCAAGTAGGCCTGCCAGAAGTAGAAATACGAGAGAAGAAACCTGGGCTGAGAGGAACCATCTGATGTATGACGACTCCCCCTTTTCTCCCCCACCCGTTTCGGTGTTCCCCCTTTTTGTTGTTCCTCTTCTAGTCCCTCCTTTGTTTTGATTTGTTTTATGGCTAGGGAGAAGAGGGAGGATAGATTAAGAGGTAAAGATTCTAAAAGGGCAATAAATAAAATAAAGAGGGGAGGGTATTAATGGAAAAAAGTAGGGTAGAATAGAAGCGAGAATTTGGCTGGGGTTTGGACTGGTGGGGGTGGTGTCTCCCCCCCCAAGCTCAAGTTGCATCTTAGTATGGTGCAGGGAAGTGGGGGGGGAGAAAAAGAGGTTATTTGTAGGGTGGAGGGCTAGGGATAAAGGATTGGAAAGTGTATTAGGTGAATTTGGTTGGTTTTTTTAAACTTTTTTTTGTTTTGTGGGGTGCCTTACAGGACCTAAAAAAGAGATGGGATCTAGAATGGACATGGGGAAAAACATAAGGGTGGCTACTTTAAATGTGAAAGGTCTACGGTCTGTAAAAATAAGAGCAAAGCGTGCTGTTTATATACCGCCCCATAGCACTTCAAAAACTCTCTGGGCGGTTTACAAGTTAATTATGCAGGATACACATTGCCCCCCCCAGCAAGCTGGGTACTCATTTTACCGACCTCGGAAGAACAGAAGGCTGAGTCAACCTTGAACCGGTTACCTGGGATTGAACCCCAGGTCGTGAGCGCAAAATATGAAAAGAACAGAAACATTATTGAAGAAGAATGAGATGGCCATTATTTACTTAAAAGAGAGTCATCAATCAAAGGATGGAGTTAATGAACTGAAACTTCAAAATACACATATTTGTGAAAAAAGATTTGGGAGTATGGAATAAAAAGGTGTAGCAATATTGATCTCTAAACTGAAGAGAGTAGGAAAAACCACTGGGCTAGTCAGGTATAATCTAAACCAAATCCCTTAGGAATACACAATAGAAGTGAAGAACAGATTTAAGGAACTAGTTTTGGCAGACAGAGTGCCTGAAGAACTTTGGATAGAGGCTGGTAACATTGTACAGGAGGCAGCAACAAAAACCATCTCACTTCATCTGCAAGACCCCTACTTCCCCTCATCTTGCAGATCCCGACAGCTGTCCAAGGAGGCTTTACAAATAGCAGAGAAGGGAAACAAAATGCAAGGGAGATAGGGAAAGGTACAGAAAATTGAATGCAAACTTCCAAAGAATAGCAAGGAGAGACAAGAGAGCCTTCTTAAATGAACAGTGGAAAGAGGGGAAAAGAATAGAAAGGGGAAAACCAGAGATATAAAAGGAACCTTTTGTGCAAAGATGGACATGATAAAGGACAAAAATGGTAGGGACCTCACAGAAGCAGAAGACATCAAGAAGAGGTGGCAAGAATACACAGAGGAATTATACTAAAAAGATCTGGATGTCCCGGAAAACCCAGATAGTGTAGTTGAGGACCTTGAGTCAGATATCCAGGAGAGTGAAGTCAAGTGGGCCTTAGAAAGCATGGCTAACAACAAGGCCAGAGGAGATGATGGCATTCCAATTGAATTATTTAAAATCTTGAAAGAAGACGCTGTTAAGGTGCTACACTCAATATGCCAGCAAGTTTGGAAATCTCAGCAGTGGCCAGAGGATTGGAAAAGATCAGTCTACATCCCAATCCCGAAGAAGGGCACTGTGAAAGAATGTTCCAATTCCCGTACAATTGCACTCATTTAATATGCTAGCAAGGATATGCTCAAAATCCAGTAGTGATGCATGGAAGTGAGAGCTGGATGATAAAGAAGGCTGAGCACCAAAGGATTAATGCTTCTGCACTGTGGTGCTGGAGGAGACTCTTCAAAGTCCCCTGGACTGCAAAGAGAACATATAAATTTTGAGGGAAATCAACCCTGAGTGCTCACTTGAAGGACAGAACCTGAAGCTTTGGCCATCTCATGAGAAGGCTCCCTGGAAAAGACCCTGATGTTGGAAAAGTGTGAGGGCAAGAGGCGAAGGGGATGACAGACGATGAGATGGTTGGAAAGTGTCATCAAAGCTACCAACATGAATTTGACCAAACTCCGGGAGGCATTGGAAAACAGGATGGCCTGGCGTGCTCTGGTTCATGAGGTCACGAAGAGTTGGACATGACATAATGACTAAACAATAACAAACCTTTCTGTTATTATGGGAACAGGCTGAAAAAATGGGGCAAAGATTAGTTGCATTCACAGGGGTGTCGTCTCCACATCCCATCAGGTCTTCCTTCCACTCTACTCGGCAATTGCTAGGCCTCCTATAGACTCCTGTGTCCAGTTCTGCCCTTTAAGAAGGATATATCAGAAGGTAAAAGCAATATATGTTGGAAGTGTAGAAAAAATGCAGGAACTTACTATCATATGTGGTAGACATGTGAAAAGGTCAAAATCTATTGGACACAGGTATGGAACCTAGCAAAAGAAATTATGCAGCAGAAGTTAGAGCTAAAACCTGAAATGGCATTATTGAATGTCATTTCAGGAGTAAATGATAATAAATTGAAGCATTGTCTTATGTATATACTCACAGCAGCTAGATTACTCTGGGCCCAGAAATGGAAAACAGAAGAGGTTCCAATGATAGAAGAGCTTCTAAAGAAGCTATGGGACATAGCAGAACTGGACACGCTATCAGAAGCACTACGGGAACAGCCAAGAGACTATGTAAAACAAAGCTGGGGACTAATATATTCTTGGCCCAGAAGAAGACAGGAATCTAGGGTGAAATTGATGATATATGTATAAACTAATTAGTACACACTACAAACTGATATTGGGAGAATAGAGGGTTTAATGAGGCTGGACAAAGGGGGGGGAGGGGGTACTTCAATAGAGGGGGTAGTTAGGTTTTTTTTTTCTCCTTCGTCCTGTATATGTAGTCTGTTTTTTTTCTCTTGTTTTTGTCTTTTCCCTATTTTTCTTATTTTTTTAGTGTTTTATGATTTTTTATATATTAGAGATTAAATAATTTTTTTAAAAAAAAGAAGGATGCAGGGGCATTAAGGACGACTGAGGAGGAACTAGAACACAAGCCCCAGGAGGAAAAAGTGAAAGAACTAGGGATGTTTAGCGTTCAGAAAAGAAGGGTGAAGGGTGATATGAACACACTCTTCAAATATTTGAAAGGTTATCATTCTGAGATGCAGGATCTGTTCTTAGTCTTAACAGAGTGTAGGACACAAATTAATGCTCTCATGGGGCCAGATTCTGACTGAATATCAGGAAAAACCTTCTAACTGTATCAGCAGTACAACAGTGGAATCGAAGGCTGAGGGATAATTGGGCTGCCATCAGTGAGATACACTTTAATTTCTCCACTGAGCTGATGATTGGGCTATATGACCTTATAAGTTCACTTCCAACACCATGATTCTATGCTATGAATAAAGAATGACATCTCGCTTACCTTGGAAATGTTAAGAGAAATTTGGAATTAGGTTATTCCTTTTTCGTCCAGAGAAAGTGAGTGGAGATGTGCTCACTTTCAACCCCTGCCTTGGAGAGAAGAAAAACGATTAGTCTGGAGGCATCTTGGATGAAGCAAAGAAAACATGTTTCCTAATAGTGCATGGTTTTGTAGTTTTCATATTATGTGGAGACACCTCTCCATCTGTATCTCTCCCCTTTGGAAAGCAGAAAAAGGAAAATGGAAAGGCACCTAACAAACAAACCACCAGGAGGGAGGAGGGAAAGAGGAAGGTGGAGGGGCCTCCCACAGACCTAGAGAAAAAAAAATTGGTCATTCAAGTTAGCTGGCCTGGATGGTGTAAAACAGAGAACTACAGACCATGCTTCCCTTTTAACACATGCAGGGAAAGAAGGGGCACCAGAAAAATGGGTTGGGGGCTGTAGGTGAAAGTGAGCTGAGTGGGCAGGGACTGATCCAGCCAATTTGCCTGAAATCAAGGATGTCTTGGAAGGGGTCAAATCCCTGCACGGCAATGGTGAACCACTTTCTGAACCCTGCATGGACCTCAAAAACCCTCCTGCATGTAGTAATGTTGTGTCCTTTAATATAATGTTTAAGATTGGGACTTCTGATGGGTTGCATTTCTTCCCTCCTTCCCTCAATTTCTGTTGGCAGAAGGGGAAGTCGGGAGTTTGGCAACACCTGGGGCTGCTTGACTCAACTCGTTCCCTCCTTGCAAGTAAAAAGAGAACCTCACCTGCCAAAGCAGCACCTTTGCAGCACACACAGTGCAGTCGAGCGGAGTTTTATAAAGGACTACTTTTACAATGACATCTTGGGACTCCTTCCTTCCTGAAGGTTTTTAAGCACCACTGCCTCCCTAAATGCTCCACTCCTCCTTTTCGTTCTTGTGTGAGATCTTTTCCCCACTCCCAGCCAGTTCAGGGGAGAAGCTGCTCCCTTGGTCCTTGTCTGCTTGTGGAGAGATGTCTTTTGATGGTAAAGGTCTCAGTGTGTGTGTATGGGGGAGGAGAGAGAGAATCGGGGAGCAGCTACAGGACTTGTTCAAGGCAAAGGGAGATATGGTGAGGGGGAAGCACTCACAGCCCATTTGAGAGAGAAAGGGGGGGAAGGATATTGGTTGCCCCTAAGCCGTCCCCAAACTTAAACAGCTGGGATAGCCTGGGTGACCAACCCCCTGGGTTGAAACTCTTGCTGCCAAATGTCAGGTCATTCGAGGGTGCAAAAGAACTGCCATCTGGGACTTGATCCTGCAGGATCTGGCCCATCTGGTCTGCATCACCCGAGACTTGGTGGGATGAGGCTGGGAGTGTCCCTCCCACCAAACTTTGTCCACCCAGGATCTCCGGGGTGCAGCAGGCAATCCCCAGCACGGGGGTCAGTTCTAATGGTCTCTCGTGACTCACATCGTGCCACATTCCCCCCCCTCCATTTCTAGGTTTGAAGGCGTGCCTTTGCAAGTAAGAGCCTGGATGTGCCCCAAATGTCTCCACTCCCATTCACGCTGCAGGGCACTCTTCCAACCTGGTTTCCTCAACTGGGGAGGAGGGTGATGATCTGGATGTGCAGAGACTCTATGGAAGCCTTAGATGGACCTTCCCAAGCTTTCACCATTGGGGCCCCTTGAACCTTGAGCAAGAGAAGGCGAAACTCAGAGGAAAGCCCAGTGATTTTCTTGGAGTAAGGGGGTGCTCAAGCTTGTGCACAGGTGCAAAGGGCGGGGGACACCCATGCACACTTGTACGCATGCGCAAAGGAGTGGGAGGCACTCGCGCAGGCACTCGCACACGCATGCGCAGACGTGGAGGGGCTGTGCAGGGGGGAAAGTACATGCGGGGGGTGGGAGATCTGTCTCCGTGGCCTAGTCCGGCCCAGGCCACGCACTGGCACCAGGCTGTGGACCAGGGGTTGAGGACCCTTATTGTAGGGAACACGGAAGATGGCAGACTAGATAGATTTAAGCATCCTTCACGAAGGGTCTTTGGGTTGTTTTAGATCAGTGGTTCTTAACCTTTGTTACTCGGATGTTTTTGAACTGCAACTCCCAGAAACCCCAGCCAGCTCAGTTGGTGGTGAAGGCTTCTGGGAGTTGCAGTCCAAAACTCCTGAGTAATCCAAGGTTAAAAACCAGTGCTGTAGATGATCAATTCAAGGGGGAGCCGTGGTGGGATCGAAACCCCCTTCCCCAAACCAGGCGACGAAACCAGGGCATTCTGGCAAAGCATGCCAAACAGAGAGCCTGGCGACCGGGATTGCACGAGAAATGGGGTTGATTTTTAAAAATGCACCCCCACCCCTCCAAAGAGAAAGCCTTCCACTCCCCTCTCCCACCAACACACACAAAAGGCTCACCGCCTTCCTGGTCCTCCAGAGATAGGAAACGCCCGGACAGACCACAACCCAGCGCGTTCGCCGCTGATCATAGAGATAGAGTGTGGGGGGGTAGAGAATGAGTAGGGGGTGCCAGCGCCCCCAGCTTCCGCTTCCGGCGAGGAGACGCTCTATACCTTTCCTTTTCTCCGTTGCCCCTCGGTCCTCCAAGTCATCCCTCTGCAGGTGCAGTGGGCTACGCGGGACTTCCAAGCACGCACAAACCTACAAAGCTGGTGCTTTGCTGAGAGGACGGGGGAGGAGCGGGTGTCCATTTTCACTCCCCCACCCCCAAAGGCTTGGTTGCTTTTCCTGGGAAATCCCTCCCAGGAACGCCGGAGAGAAGCCCCTTCCCTTTTAGGAGCCCCCCCCCTTTGGCTTCTTCTTCCTCTCTCTCTCTCTCTCTCCCCTCTTCTTCAGGAGACGTCTCCCCCCTGCATAAATAGAGCTTGAAAGGGGGGAAATCACCAAGTCCTCTCCACTCTTTTCAAAGCTTCCTAAGGTCAGTGCGAGCAGACAGGGTGGGGGGGCCAGAGGACCAAAACCATCCATATTTATCCATGCACTTTATTTATCCATCTCTATGGGAAAGTTTCACTTGCGGGTGTCATTTTTATCCCTCTTTTTTTAAATTAGTAAGTAGAATACAAGAAAGCAAAGTTGGTGTGAGCCATCAAATACACTCTTCAGGTCAGGCTTCTCGTTTTATTTTTCATCGTTTGTTTTAATCCTCTGTGGTTTTGATTGTAAACCGCCCAGAGTGGACTTGTTCCAGATGGGCAGTAGAAAAATCAAATAAATAAATATATAAAAATATCCTAGCTTTACCATAGCCATCTTGCTTTCTGTAACTTCCTTTGCTGTATGAAGGTGTAAACCAGTTTCCAGCAGGCAAGAATGAACAAGGGAGGAGGGGGTGTCCGTCTGAGGTTCTTTCACTTTATATTAAAAGGTTTCTAATTGGAAATTTGTCCTTGGAGAAGACC